CTCTTTCCTTTTCACTTAAATTTAATGATCAGTTTTTCCATCTTTTTAAAGAAAGACATTGGACTATTGATTGGAATTGCATTATAGCTATAAATTGTTTTGGTTAGTATTAACACTGTCACAGTATTAAGTATTCCTATCCATGAGTATGGTATATTCTTCCATATTTGTAAATCTCTTTTGGTTTCTTGTAGTAGTCTTTTATAGTTTTCTTTGAATAGGTTTTTTATTTTTCTTGGTAGATTTATTAAATGATATTATTTTCCTGATTTCCTTTTCAGAGCTGTCTTTATTTGTATAGACTGATTTATGTACATTGTAACTGATTTATGTACATTGCTTTAAAAAATTTTTGCTTTTTGCTATCCCCATCTCCTTTTGGCAGTCCTGCCCAGACAGATTGGATACCACTTAGTGGAGATTCTACCTCCTTCCGTGCCCTCTGGATCTAGGCTCCTTCTTAAAAGCTTGTAAGCCAGTCACTTCTTGACTTTTTAGTCCCTCCCCCCACCCCCATTTTGGGCAGCCAATGTCCAAGTTGCCTATCCCTGTCTACTCTGTGTATTGAGGGTTGGGAATGATCCTCGCTGTAAAGATTTGTTCCCTCTTTTGAGCTACTGCATCAATAGGTGTAGGTCAAGTTCATTCAAATTATATCAGATTACTCTTTTTTCCCCTCTTTTTTTCTTTTTCTAGTTGAGCTCTGATCATCCAGCCATCGAAGCCAGGTCAAGTGGGTATTATCTGCAAGTTGTACATTGCTTTTGTAACCTGTGACTTTGTTGAATTTTTGAATGAGTTCCAAAAATTTTCTTGCTGAGTCTTTGGCATTTTCTATGTATTGGATCATATCATCTTAAAACAGAGTTTTACTTCTTCTTTGTCATTTTGGATGCCTTTAATTTTTATTTCTTGCCTTATAATTCTAACTAAGACTTCCAACACAATATTGAATAGAAGTTGTGATGAAGAGCATCCTTTGGTTCCTGTTTATAAGGGAACACTTTCAGTATCTCTCCATTGAGAGTTATGTTGGCTATTGGATTTGTATATATGCCCTTAATTATGTTGAGAATTTCCCCTCTATTCCTATTTTGTTGAGTGTTTTTATCAGGAATGGATGTGGATTTTGTTAAATACCTTTTCAGCATCAATCTGATCATGTAGTTCTTTGTTTTATTTATATGATAGATTACATTGATTGTTTATCTAATATTAAACCATCTTTTCAAACCACTTGGTCATGCATGGTAAATTATTATTGTGACATGTCGCTGAATTTTATTGGCTAGGATTTTGTTGAGAATTTTTACTTCTATTTTCATGATGGATGTTTGTCTAAAAATTTTATAGTGACTCCTTTGGTTTTAGAATGAGTGTTATGATCACTTCAAAAATGTATTTGGGAGTTTTCTTCTATATTCAGGAATAATTTGAGTGGAATTGGTGTCAACTTTTCTCTGAATCTTTCATATAATTCACTTGTAAAGCCAACTGGTCATGGACTTTTGTGTGTGTTTTATTTTTAATGACCTCATCAATTTCTTTTGTTATAGGCTTGTTCAAGTTTTGTACTTCATCCTGTGTTAGTTTTGGTAGGTTGTGTTTTTCCAAAAATTCATCTATTTCTTCTAGAGTTTCTAGATTTGTTGGTATACACTAGTATTCTCCCTAGTATTCTGTTATTGTCCTTTTTATTTCTGTTAGTTCTGTTGTGACATCACCCATGTTGTTTTTTATGTGTGTGTTTTGCATCTTCTCCTTTGTCATTCTTATTAATCCTTTCAAGGAATCAACCTCTTCTCTTGATTCTTTGTAGTGTTTTTCTGTTTTATAATGCATTTATTTCTGCTTTAGTATCTATTATTTCTTTTGTTCTGGTGACTGTAAGATTACTTTGCTCCTCTTTTTCTAATTGTTGGAGATGTTGCATTAATGTGTCAATTTGGTTCTTTCTTTTCTTTGGATAGGTTCATTTTTTTATTTAAATTGCCCTCTAAGCATTCCTTTTTCTGTATTCCAAAGGTTTGTTATGTTCTGTTTTTATTCTAATTTTATTTTATTTGTTCTACTTCCCAGTAGTTTTAACCAGGGTGTTATTCAATTTCCACATATTTGATTTTTTCCTAATTTCCTATTGCTGATTTCTTGTGACCTAAATAGATACTTTTGTAGTATTTCAATGTTTTTAATTTATTGAGGCTTGGTTTTTGTCTTAATATATAGTCTATTCTGGAGAAGGAATTCTGGTAGCATGGTGGTTACAAGTCAAAATGCTAACCTCAAGTCAGCAGTTCAAAACTACCAGCTGTTCTTTGGGAGAAAGATGACGCTTTCTGTACCGTAAAGATTTGCAGCCTCAGAAACCCTATGCAGGATCACTGTGAATTGGATCTGACTTCACAGCACACCATCACCACCATTCTTGAGAATGTTCCATTGGCACTGAAAAAGCATACATATTGTGCTGTTGTTGGATTGAGTGCTCTGTATAAATCTCTGAGATTACATTAGTGGATTCAGTTATTCTGTGTCTTTGTTAAGTTTCTTTCCAGTTGTTCTGTCCTTCATTGAAAATGGTGTATTAAAATTTCTTACTGTTATTGCAGCACTTCTTATTTCTTCAATACTTTTGCAGTTTGATTTATGTATGTGAAGTTCTTTTATTAGAAACATAGATATTTATTATAGTTATGTACTCTTGTTCAATTGTCCTTTTAATCAAAGATAATGTCCTTCTTTATTTCTTATTCTAGTTTTTGCCTTAAAATATATTTTTATCAGAAATTAATATCACTCTTGCTCATTTTTGGTTGTCATTTTTTCCCATCCTTTGATTTTTAATCTTTGTGTGTAAGTTATGTCGTGGTGTGTAAATTATGTCTTTTGTAAAGAGGATGTTAAAGGAATCTGTTTTCTTCCTTTCTTCTTTTTTTTTTTAAGGATTTTATTGTTGATTGAATGAAACTTTACAGGGCAGATCATCAGTTTTACATTTAACAAATCATACACCTTCATTCATTACAATAGTTGTAATCCCCTCCATTCACCATTAGTTAACAGTATTGCTCTCTATTCATTTTAGCTTTCTGAAAAAACAAAAACACTCAGGCATATATAATAATTTACACCTCTAAAGGGCATATTCTGCAAGTCTGCCTCCTGGTTACCAGCTCTTAGTCCCTCTCTTCCCATGAATCTAGAGTTCTCAGCCACTTCCCCTTTCCATGACCCCATCTCTGCTTCTGTCTCTGGCACCGCTACTTCTCTGGATAAGGTCCCACATTCTGCTTGTACTCTTCTCCCTTGATGGTCTTAGGTTCCCCATTTTTTGGACTGTAAGATTAACTGCTCGCCTGTTTTTGTTACAAAACTTCTACCTTTACAATTGTGACAGTCGCAATTAGTCATGATAACAATTATTCCCTATTGAATCATACGAATCTTATCCCCATCTCTTTTCACCGGATCCATCTAGACAAGATGAAAATTATTCAGTGTGGACTCTTTCTCCACCCCATACTCTTAAACTAAACTCCCTCTTGAAACCTTGTAAGCCAGTCACTGTGTGCCTTTATCGCTCCCTCATTTTAGGTAGCCAATGTCTAAGTTGCCTATCTACCCTATGTACAGAGGGGATAGCATTGATACTTGATGTGAAGACTCCTTCTCTCTCTATTGGTATTTAGAGTAACTACCTCCATTGAGTATAGGTCAGGTTCATCAAATTGTAGCAATTTACCCTTGTTTCCTTTATCAAAAAATTTTTTTTAAAAAATTTTTTGTAATCTTCCTTCAGTCGAGTTCTGAGTATCAAGCCATCAAGGCTAGCTCATCTGGGTACTGTCTGCAAGTTTGGGTGTTCTCCCCTCACTTCATATCAGCTGGATGCTTCACTCTCAGCTCTAGATTTCTGTGGCTATATCCTTGTCTATGGACGCAAGTGTCTCTAGGTCTCACCACACTTTGGACCAACCAGCCCTTCCTCTTCTTTCTCTCATCTCCAGGTCAACGGGAATCAATGGACTCAGCCCATTTCTTCATTGCTGCCTTTCTCTTTCTTCCACTCACCAGTAGACCAATGTGGTCGTCAGCAAGCTTACATGCCTGTTTATGTATTCCCTTTGAGTTTCAGTCTTAGAGGGGTGTTTGTCCTGAGGAACTTGATTGCTTGCTTTGATAGCTTCCCAGTGAACAGCTTGCTTACTCTTGTAGTAGCCAGCCATGCTGACATTTTTTTTTTTTAAGGAGCTCTGGTAGTGTAGTGGTTACGAATCGGGCTGCGAATCTTAAGGTCAGTGGTTGGAAACTACCAGCTGCTCAGCAGGAGAAAGATGAGGCTTTCTACTCCCGTAAAGATTTACACCCTCGGAAACCCTGTACAGGGTCGCTATGGGTCGGAACCGACTCGATGGCACTTAACAACAACAACAACAATCTTTTATTAGTAAATATTCATTAAAAAAAAGATATTATCTAGAATGCAGCAGAGAGAGCAGAAAGATACAAAATAGAGATTAACTGACATGGGAGTTAAGAGGACTGTGGAACATGGATTTACAGGTGGTGGTGGTGGTGACCCTGCATATGGTCTCTGAGGCTGTAGGTCTTTATGGGAGCAGAAAGCCTCATCTTTCTCCTGCGGAACGGTTGGTAGTTTCGAACTGCTGACCTTGAGGTTAGCAGCCTGAATCATAACCACCACCCTACCAAGAAAAAACCTGGTGGGGTTGTGAGGATAATGCGCTGGACCACAAAGTCTAACGTTCAAACTCAGCAGCCACTCTTTGGAACTCTATGTAGGGCCAATGTGAATCTGGCTCCACTGCACTTAACAAAAGAAAAATCAGATGAATGAGTGGCAAAATTGAAGGGAGAATAGTTGAGAATTTTCCAGAACTGGAGAGTCCAACGCCATCTCTTGGCTATTAAGAGTCAGTGCGCATGTTGTGATTTCCCCACGGGGGGCGGATCTGGGGTCCACCAGTCTGCGATCACTTTTAGGGTATGAGAAGCAGTTCAAGGAACTCTGAGATTTTAAGGGCTTGAGAGTCCTCTGGGTCCCACTCAGTAACGAAACTGCCCTTCCTTGTCCAGGCCATGGCCCACCAGTTCCCCGTTGCTGGACTCCGGGTGGCGGTGGGGTCCATGGGTCCAGGATGGGGGTGGCAGGCAGCGGAAGGAGGCGTCAGGCCAGACAGGCTCAAGCAGCTGCGGCAGTGAGAGAAAGCCGAAAGTGTCGGGAAGCGCAGTCGGAGAATGAGCGGAGCACGGCATGGGGGGCGGGGAGCCGAGTGGACCCTGGAGTGGCACAGGAAACCCAGGTAGACAACGGCAGCTGCAGGTAGCAACACCAGCAGGAACACAATCGCTGTCCGACTGGGCAGCAATAGGGTCCCCAGTCCCCTTGTGGCCAGGCCTGCCCACCCTGGGGATGTCTGGTGGTCGGAGAACCTCTGGGGAAGCATGGGTGTCATGTCAGAGCCACACCCTCCCTCATCCTCCTCTGTCTCCCTCTCCTGCTGGCTCATCACAGTCCATGCTGACGTTTTTGTTTTGTTTTTTTTCCTGATGATCTTTCTTTGAAGACGTAGCTTCTGTTGCTCTAGCTATTCCAGGCTGGTTTGCTTGTCCTTACTAATGGGAATGTCCCACATAAGGTTCTGGATGGGATTTAGGATTCCACCTAAGGTCCTATACTCTGCAAAGGCTTTGCAAGAGGCCTATTTCCCTGGACAAGTTCTAGAACCCCTTTCAAGCATTTCAATCAGTTATAGGGTGAAGATGGTCTTACAAGTTTTCTGTAATCATGTTTCCCAACAATTCTTTTTATCCTACTCAAGTGTCTATTTTACAATAGTAGTCAAGGGAAACCAATATACATAAGACAGTCAAACAATTTAGTATTATTTCCCTTCTTCAAACTATGCCTTGATACCTGTATCACAGAGTCCTGTCTTTCCAAGGTTGAGTATGCGTCACTATTTACCTCTGTCCCACTTAGGCCATGGAAACCTGTCTCAGTGTTCCCCTATTTTTCTTGTTCTTCTACCTTCTCCCCCTTCTTGTATTGCCCTTCCCAACACCCGAACTAAAACCCCCACCCCAACCCCATTGTTGTAGTTACTGTATATTCCATTAACTCTTCCCTTTATTTAAGACAGTCTCGTTTATCCTGTAATCTACCTGACTTTCTCACCACCTGGATCTCTGTTCCTGTGTTTACCTTCTTTCACATTGCAAGTGTTTTGCAAGGGAGATCATAGACTGACCTCCCAGATCCTCTGTTCTTATAATTTTATTATGTTCTTGAATTTTTCCATTTGTCAATTGCATTCAGGGCGATGCTGCTATGTACATCAATCTCTGGTTGTTGTCTGTTCTTGTTGGTTCTCAGTCCACAGAACTTCCTTTAGGATGTTTTTTATCGCAGGGTTGGCTTTGGCAAAATCCCTTAGCTTCTGTTTATCCTGGAATGTTTTGATTACATCACCATATTTGATTGACAGCTTTGCTGGGTAGAGGATTCTTGCATGGCAGGTTTTTTTTTCTATCAGGGCTTTATATATGTCTCCCCATTGCCTTCTTGCCTGCATGGTTTCTGTTGAGAGATCCGAGCTTAATCTGATTTGCTTGACTTTGTATGTTACACTTCTTTTTTCCCTAGCTGCTTTCAGGATTCTGTCCTTATCTTTTATTTTGCAGAACTTGATTATTATATATCTTGATGATTTCCGTTTAGGGTCTATCCTTCCTGGGGTTCATTGAGCTTCTTGAATCCTTGTGTTTTCACTTTTCAGGATGTTAGGGAACTTTTCTTCAAGAAGCTCTTCAACTATTTCCTCTGTGGACTTGTGTGATTCTTCCTGTACCAGAATGCCAATAATTCTTAAGTTATTACTCTTCATGTTGTCCAACATGAATCTTAGGCCTTCTTCAGATTTTTTAAAATCCTTTTTTCTTCTTGCTCTTCTATCTTAATAGTTTTGAGAGATTTATTTTCTAGCTCACTAGTTCTGGCTTCTATCTCTTCAAATCTACTCCTTTGCCCTTTCAGTATATTATCCATTTCTGATATTCTATTATTAATTATTTGGACCTCTTTCTGTAGGTGTTGAATTGTTTCTAATGCTGTATCTATCTTATTTGATTGTTCCTGTAGCACTTTCCTGACTTCTTTCTTATTTTTCTCAACTGCATTGTATAGTGTTTTGATACCTTTTATAATCATTTTTCTGAATTCCTTCTCTAGCATTTCCAAAACCTGCCCATCTTCCAGTATGGAGGGTAGGTGTACTTCCAGCTCATTTGCCTCAGTCACTTTATCTCGTTTGTGGACATATGCTGATATGGTCATCTGTTTCTGTTTTTGGGGAATATTCAGGAGTTATCTGTGGCCTTAATACTTAGATGGGTGTGTATTTTGGTATTTCTTATGCTTTCTGATTGCCTCCAGGTAGATGTGATCAGGAGATGGACTTCTCTTTTCACTCTTCTTCCTAAGAAATTTCAAGATGCCACTGTTGGTCATTGTGACATAACTCAGGATTTAATTTTTAGCCTAGTTCCTTTTTAGTCTGCCTGTCCCACTCCACAATCTCCATTCAGGCCTTTTTCCAAGTGATATATAGTTCAGGGCCAGCTGTGGCCATTTTGTGCTGCCATTTGGTTTTAAGTGGAAACCGTCACTTTAAATTTTGAGAAGATCTGTGCTCATGCATAGTAGAACCCTTTGGGGGTGGGTGTGGGTGTCCACTTGCTCAGAATAATAGTCACCAGAATAGAGGTGTGCAGACAGTGAGAGACCAATGAAAAGATACAAAAGAAAAGAATGTCCACATCTGTATCTCCGCAGTTCTGTCAGGCAAATGTGGCTGCTCTGGTCCTTCACCTGCTCTGTCTTGCCCAAGATGGCAGCTCTGGGAGCAGCTGAGTGTCTTGAATTAGAAAGCAATGGATTTCTTGCTTCTGCTACAAATTCCCCTAGCTGTAAGCCTTCCAATATTCTAAATAATCCTTTATATGTGCTTTTGAGTTCTGGCACCATCCCCTGAGCCTGCTTCGTCCAGTATTCTGTGTTATTGCTGACAGAGCTCCTCACTTGTTTGTTCTTCAAAAATCTGTTTTCTTATCCCTTCTGCTAATCTCTGTCTTTTGACTAATACATTTAATCCATTGACAATTATTTTAATTATTGATAGATCTGTATTGATTGCTATCATTTTGCTGTGTGTTTGCTGGTCTTTTTATTTCACATAATTTTCTTTGCTGAGTTCATTTTGTTTGTGCCTTTTCTTGTCAATTACTTTCATTGCTGTTGTTTTAATGCTTATTAAATCTTTGTGCTATTCCTTTTTCTTGATTTGAAGTGAAAGTGTATTAATTTTCCTTTAGGATACCCTTTAATATACTGATAGTATATTAAAACAGTTTAATACTATCTGTTTTATTTTGAAATTTTACTTCACTTCATCATTTTGACTGCCTATAGCTACACTTTTTCCTTTTTGCTTTGTATTTGTCTTCATTATAAATTGTTATCTCTGGTTTCCTGTTTTCAGTCTTATAGATTTATTTTACTTTGGATACTTCTATTTCTGGATTGAATTTTGGGTGTTGTTGCCTTCAATGTCAATCTCAGGCTATTGTCTACTGTTGTTGGTTGTTAGTCCAAAGGAGTCCATTTAGTACTTTTTATAAAATTTTCCTGGTTATTGCATGCTCTTTTAATTTTTGTTTATCTGGAAATGCCCTAAGTTTACTAACTTATTTATATGCATGTGACAGTTGGACAGTGAATAAGGAAGAAAAAAGAAGAATTGATTCATTACAGTTATGATGTTAAAGGAAAAAGTGAACAGTACTTTGGACTGCCAAATGAACAAACTAACCTGTGTTGAAAGAAGTACAGCCAGAATGTATCTTGGAAGCCAAGATGGCCCGACTTTATCTCTCATACTTCAGACATATTATCATGAGGACGAATCCCTGGAAAAGGATATAATGTTTGATAAAGAGGAGGGTTGGAGAAAAAAAGGATGACTCCCAACGAGATGGATTAGCACAGTGGCGGCAGCAATGGGCTCAGGTTTAGCAACGATTGTGAGTTTGGTGTGGGATCAGACAGTGTTTCGTTCTGTTGTGCATAAGGTCACTAATAGTTGGTACCAACTCAATGGCACCAAACAATAACAGCAACAACAACAAAATTTAAAGGAAAGTTTTTCTGGGTATATGATTCTTGGTTAACAATTTTTTTTTCTTTCAGAGCTTTGTATATGTTATCCCATTGCCTTCTTGGCTGCATGATTTCTGCTGAGAAGTCAGAGCTTAATCTTATTGGTTTTCCTTTGCAGGTAAGTTTTCATTTTACCCAAGCTCTTTCAGGATACATTTTCTTGTCTTAGATTTTGGAAAGTTTGATTGATATGTCTTGGTGACTTTCTTTTGGGGTCTTCCTTATTTGGGATTTGTTCAGCTTCTTGAATGCTTATCTTCTCTTCTTTCACAATGTTACTGAAGGTTTCTTCCTGCAGCTCTTTGACTATCTTTCCTGTTCTTTTTCTTTGTCTCTTCCTGTTCTGAAATTCCATTCATCCATAAGTTATTCCTCTTCATGTTATTCCACATGAATTTTAGGCTTCCTTCCTTCAGATTTTTTCATTCTTTTTTTTCAGATAGTTCTTCTAGCTTACTAGTATTGAGAGATTTATCTTCAGGCTCACTAAATCAGGCTTCCATTGATTCAGATCTACTCCTTTGCCCTTTCAATGAATGTATTATCCATTTCTGAAGCTTAGTATTAATCTTTTGTATTTTTATTTGCATGTTTTTATTGTCTCTAATCTTTTATCTATTTTTGTTTTATTGTTCCTGTAGCACTTTCCTGAATTCTTCCTTGTTGTTCTCGATCTTTCTGTCAGTCATTTGGAAGTACCAAAATATATTCTCTTGAATTCTTTTTCAGGTAGTTTCAATGCCATTTTCCCCTCAAATATAGTTTTTAGATTCGCCTCTTGATCACTCGTTTGAGTCACTTTGTCTTGTTTCTTCATGTGAACAGAAATTGTCTGCTGCTTTTGAGATCTTGTAGTGTTGCTGTATTTGTATTAAGTTGATGATTGTATGTTGATGTATGCTTAAGTACTCACTCTTTCATGGTGGGCATGATTAAGGGATGGAAGCATGTGTCCCATTCTTTGTTCACTCTGCATGCAGCTTAATTTAGCATGGGTCTAGCTTATTTTGGTTAGTGTCATTAATCAGGTTTATAGCAGCTGGTATTAGCTCTTACCTGATGGATGGTGTTTTATATGGTTTTATCTGGGCTGTATGGGCATGGTTGCTCTCCCCTGTCAGTTGAGGCAAGAAGTGAAAACACACATACAAGAGAAAAGTAAAACAGACAAACAAGCAAACAACAGTGAAAGAAGAATATAGTAAAGGGGGAAAAAAAGCATGAAACAGCATCAAAAGAATACAAAAACCAAAAAAGTGAAAGAGAGCAAGAAGAAAAATCTAAAACCCATGG